GCCGCGGTTTGCAGGACGGGCAGGGGCGGTATCAGTGGAAAAATGGGAACCATTACATTGGCCAATGGAGGCATGGAAAGATTCATGGGAATGGGACCATGATTTGGAGCAATGGGAATCGGTATGATGGGTCTTGGGAAGAAGGTTTGCCAAAAGGAAATGGCACGTTTCGGTGGGCTGATGGGAGTTTCTATGTGGGAGTTTGGAGTAAGGAGTCGAAAGAGCAGAATGGGACTTACTACCCAGCAGGATCGTCGGGTGGTCATGTGGATTGGGATCCTCAGGAGATGTTTGCAGTGGACTTGAATGATTGCAAGGTGTGTCCGCAGGAAACTATTTCGATATACCCTTCGCAGAAGACTCTGAGTTGGCCTGGAATTGAAGGGGAGTTCTTGAACAAGCAGCATATTTATAAGAATGGGAACGAAGGCAATGTGAGGCCTAGGAAATCTTCCGATGGGAGGGCAAGTAATTATAGTAGGTCATCTAATGGAGATAGCATGTTTGATGGAGCTGATAGGAGCTCAAGAGATGGAAATGCTGGATTTGAGTTGGAAGGTTCGGTTGCGAAAGGGATTAGACATCAGCATTTGAAAGTTCAGCCAATGAAGAGACAGGGGGTGACAATAGCTAAAGGGCATAAGAACTATGAGCTTATGCTTAATCTGCAGTTGGGAATCAGGTATATGCGATTCCTTGTTGTTTTCTGCCCTTCTTCGCACCTGGTTTTGTTTTATTGTTGTTTTTGGTTTTTGCCTGTCTTGGTACACTTTCTGTTCTTCCTGTGCTTTTGATTCTTAATCTTTTGTCCTGCAAGTAATGAGATAAAATGAGTTGACGGAGAAGCCGTGCATGAATCACAGAATATTTCTCTATATGGTTCAGAAATAGATGTGTCGCATGTGTTTTTGAATGATTTGGTGGTTTCGAGTCGATCATATTCGAAGAAACGATTCATTAGAAGCTTTTTAGTTGCTTGGTACCCATTCACACATCCGTAATTCCTATCTCTCTCTTTTAACATGTTCCATCTTAGCTTATGATGACCTTCCCCATTCAGGTTCATGTTTTGTGATAAGTGCTTTGCTTCAATGTTTTAGAAGGCTGTTGGAGCTCTCTTTGTCAAAGAGAAATCTTAGAAAGGCCTGTGAAATTTCTCCGAACATGGGGAAATTAGTCAAATTACAAGCTACATATTTTCTTTCACTAATTGCTTAAATCGTTTAGCCCATTTACCAGATTGTGAGAAAAGAGAGACGAGAGAAACATTAGATTGCGTTATAGTTTTACTCTTGAACTTTAAAAGTTTGTAGAAATCTTCCTTGCATATTAACTGGTTTCTTATAGCACAGGCATTCTGTTGGAAGGCCTGCTCCAACTACATCTCTTGACCTGAAGACTTCAGCATTTGATCCCAAGGAGAAAGTATGGACAAAATTCCCCCCAGAAGGATCCAAGTATACTCCACCACACCAGTCATGCGACTTCAGGTGGAAGGATTATTGTCCTGTGGTCTTCCGGTAAGACCTTTCAAAAGTTTCTTTCGGATTTTATTTTATACCATAAGGAACTACCATCTTTGGAAGAGTTAGATAATTAACTCAGTCTCCTGTAAATACGACCTTGTCAGAATCAGTCGCTGAATATGTATCGCTCTTCTTGTATGATAAAACATTTCCTCGTCCCACATTTATAACTCCCGATTAGTTTTGTTTGGAGCATACATGGATAACTGGTTCGCCCTATTTGTCTTTCAGGACTCTCAGGAAATTGTTCAAGGTCGATCCAGCAGATTACATGATATCAATATGTGGAAATGACGCCCTTAGAGAGCTCTCATCCCCTGGAAAGAGTGGAAGCTTCTTTTATTTGACAAACGATGACCGGTACATGATAAAGACAATGAAGAAAGCAGAAGTGAAAGTAAGTTTCAAAAATTTATCATACCCTTTCCTCCTGCTTCCTGCTCCGTTTGGATATAGATATGTAGCTTCACAGCTCTCTTCAGATTATATTGAGTCCATTATGTTGCTACTGCTACTATTTTTATTAATCATGACATCCTTCCAAATTAATACTTCACTGAATTCTGATTTGATCCGTTATTTTCTACACTAAATAATGTGCTGATCTCAACTTGGCCATCACAGGTGCTTCTAAGAATGCTTCCAGCTTACTACAATCATGTTAGATCCTTTGAGAATACTCTGGTCACCAAATTTTACGGCCTTCATTGTGTAAAGTTAACGGGGACTGCCCAAAAGAAGGTAATGCTGCTGGCTAGTGAACCCTTTATTGCTTTCTGAACTTCTGAAATATTGAACTTTATAATTCCCATTTTCCAGGTGAGATTTGTCATTATGGGGAATCTATTTTGCTCCGAATTTGCAATTCACAGGCGGTTTGATTTAAAAGGCTCTTCCCTTGGCCGTACAACCGATAAACCTGAGTCGGAAATTGATGCTACAACAACTCTTAAAGATCTCGATCTTAATTATATATTTAGGTTGCAGAAGGTTTGGTTTCAAGAGTTCTGCAGGTATATTTTTATCTGTCTGTCTATCACTTTTTCGTTTAGGATATCAAAGATTATGAGAACACTCCCTTTCATTCATACTCTAGTGTTATATTGTGAAAGAATAGCTAGGGAGAGTCGCCATCATAAGTCATTAGACTGATGTACATTAACTCCAATGTCAATTTTCTCATGGTGGCTATGCTTATTGGGAGGAACTTGGTGAGAGAAAAATAGTTCCTCAGTCAAATCGTTACAAATGTGGATTATACTTGCCTCTTTCAATTATTATCAAAACTCAAAAATAACTAATGCCTGATTTTAGAAATAAGATATGGTTGATTGAGTTGGTGGAGCGTATGATCTTCGGAAAAAGAAATGGATTACACTTGAGTGCTATGTGCATATGTGAGAATGTTTGGGTACATTGGAAGTTAGATATGGAAATTTTAGCAGTTGTGTATTAGTCTAATTTCTCTTTCTGAGTTGAAGTCTACCTCGATGCAGGCAAGTGGACAGAGATTGCGACTTTCTTGAACATGAAAGAATAATGGACTACAGTCTCTTGGTTGGTCTTCATTTCCAAGAAGCTTCATGCACGGAAAACCCCAAAACTCCAGACCGAACATCTGGAGCTCGTACTCCAACTGGTTATTTCTAGACCTTTCTTCAGTTATTCATACATCTCATAAATGCAAAGCAAAGCCTTTCTGAACGCATGAATTGTGTACCGACCTTGCAGGAAATGGCGACCCTGACAATGGAACCCCACGCCTTTCTAAAGTTGACATGGATCGGCTTCTTTCTGACCCGAACTGGTAGAAATGAATCCATTAAAATTGAGCCAAATTTTCATCTTTCCAAGAGATCCCTGGTAATAATCAGTTTATTTGATTTCGAATGCCTTGTTGCAGGCGGTCTTCTATTAGTTTAGGTATTAATATGCCAGCATGGGCTGAAAGGACAGTGAGAAGAAATGATTGTGAGCCTCAGTTGGTTGGAGACCCAACGGGAGAACTGTACGATGTCATTCTGTTTTTCGGTATAATTGACATACTACAGGACTATGATATCAGCAAAAAGCTCGAGCATGCATACAAGTCATTCCAATATGATCCGACCTCAATCTCTGCTGTTGATCCGAAGCTGTACTCCAAACGCTTTCGTGCTTTCATCTTCAGAGTTTTTGTAGAAGACACATGACGGTATAGTTTGAACCCCAGATTTTAACTCGAGGCTTGGCAGTCATCCCTGTATAGTCATCGGTCTGTAGCGGAAATGACAATGCTTTTAAAACTAGCAGAAGCATCGGTTACATGGTCAATGGAGCTTGAAAAGTGGCTGCCATGGGGAGCACGCTTCGGCGTATTTGTTACTGCATTATTCCCCGGTGTCATAATCTCTTTTAATTTATAGTCACAGATATATGATATGTTCTGGTTAGGGATTAAAGTTGTAAACCAGAGTTACTCGAAGCCTTTTGGAATTGTAAATGAAAAAGTAAACCAAAAGGGGTGTGGAATTACAGTGGACGTGACGCGTTCGTTTTGTATATGGGATTCCAACATTGAATGAGAAATGTACAGGAGATGAACGGATAGTTGATCATGCCTTTACAATTGGATGAACTATTCTCGTATGCTGTTATTCCACCTTTACTTAATTCTGCTACTTCCCTTGGGTATACACTTTTGTGAGCGGGATGAAGCCAGAGATCCAAATGGATGGGGTATTCTCAAATAACAAAATCACAAACTAAAACGCTTAAGGATTTACTAAACAAAACACGTATATAAATTCTCAAGGTTTTTCATACAACATATTATAATATCTTTCGATGCATTTTCATGTTTTGAAAGCTTTGAGTAGCAACTTCATTACCAATAACATCAAATGTTCCTCTTTACAGAATAACCATATTAACGTTCATCCTTGATCTCTTATCCAATTTCTCAATCGATTTTCAGAAGTTTGCTAACCTAGAATGCTTTATTACGTCGAATTACTATATGCATTATGTACATTTGTCCACCAAAAAGCTGAGTTGGCATCCGCCCCAATTGGGCCCAAGGTAGTCCATTTTTTGGAAATGTGCTAACTCAGAATACTTTATTACGTGGAATTACTATATGCAATATGTATATTTATCCACCAAATAGAAAGGCATTGTAAAATAATTAGGTACGAGAAATTACACGCACTACATGAATATTACAAAAAGATGCCTGAGGTTTGCAAAATAATAAATAAAATATTTACTTATCTTTCCACGGGTGTAGATCTTGTGGTTAAAGTTTCACTAATTAATCCAACGGCCAAAGTTTCCTTGCATTTTTTTTTTTTTTTTTTTTTTTTTTTTTTTAAATGATTTCGAAATTGCTTTTGGGTCCAACGGTCTTCGCCCTTCTCCCCAAAGAAGCTAAACCCTCGACGTCTTTGAAGCCTGAAATTCATTTCTTCTCTAATCGCCATGGATAGATAGCAGTACCGAAATGGAGGTTTTCCATCTGCTGAAAAAACAGTTAGAAAACTTATCCATGGATTAATTTGATAGTTCATATTCTTTCGAAATTCTAGGGTTTTAATTTCTCCAATTGAAATTGTTCATCCTCGGCCTTTAACATGATTCAACTCTACAATATGAAGGCCCTCCGAATGGTTAATTCAATATTTTCTTGTACATCTGCATCAGAACCTAAAAGTTTTGTTCTTGTTGGTCCAAAACCCTCAACTTTTGTCTTCCAAATCAGTTGCTTTGCAGACCCATCACCTCAGAAATCTCGGAAACCCAGCATGGTTTCAAAGTCAATTACCTCATAAACACATATGGGTTGTCCCCAGAAGATGCAATTTCAGTATCCAAAAGGGTGAGGCTGGAATCTCCAAAAAAAGCAGAATCTGTTTTGGCCCTTCTGAGAAACCATGGACTATCCCAAACCCAGATATCAAAGCTTGTTAGGTCATGTCCGCCGATAATTTCTGCCAATCCCGAGGAAACTCTTTTGCCAAAGCTTGAGTTTTTCAGCTTTCTCGGTGTTTCGAGGGTGGACCATGCAAAAACTCTGGCTTATAATCCACATCTTTTGGGATAAGCTTGACAAACAGGATTATGCCCACTTATGATTTCCTTAGGAGTATCCTTTCTGAGGAAAATGTTGTAGCTCTTTTCAAGCACAACTCGCGGCTTTTCGTGGAAAGTCAATTCAAGTATCTGGTGCAAAATATTGAGCTTTTGAGAGAATCAGGTCTGATGCCTAAAAACTTAATTAGCCTTAGGACTGAGCTACATGTTTTCGTCGATGCTTTCAGAAGTTCTGGGAAGCCTGCGCATTTTCTTCGATGCTTTCAGAAGTTCTAGGAAACCTGCGCGTTTTCTTCATTGCTTTCAGGAGGATGGGAACCGGCAAGTTTTCTTTGTTGTTTGAAAACCAAGTTTTGGAAGGCCTCTGGCTCGTGGCCCGTTCTTGCCTGCAAGCCAAGCAATCAATTAATGCATCAACAACCAGTTTATTGAAAGGGGGTGAAGAGAAAATCGTGCGATATCAGTACGATATTAACCTGCTTAAAAATGTAAAAATATTATATGTGCACACTTTAGACTCAGAGAGGAGAGGTATATGTCGATTGGCTATTTCAGCGCCATAAAATGAGCAGTTTTCAACAGAAGGAGCTCCATACTGTATTCCCCATCTATACAATTACATGTTGACTTTTGTACAATAATAAAAGATATAATTGGTACTCTTGTCACCTCTTACTGATTAGGGTTTGTACTGCTATTTGCAATAATGTACATGAAGAACTACCATGGTTCAGAGTTGTTACCAAGAAAAATTCTAACATTTGACAGCCTGCTCCGACCATCCTCCACCTAAATTAGGTTACAGTCCGCAGCATCTTCCTCTAGAAAGGTTAATGAATCAGATGGTTGCCTCCGTAATGGACGACCCTGCAGTATCCAAATAAAGATGTTTACTCGACTGCAATTGTACTCACATGTCACCACACATACAACTAGAAAACATGCCTAGGTAGAGCATGTGATCTCACAGTTCCAATGGATCACTCTCTGGCGAATAAGACGTTCACAAGCTGTGACAACATGCCAATGTTCAGATAATATGTGGTGTGGACATGATCTTTCTCTTTAAGGAGGGTGTGGAAATTCCAACAAAGGTTCAGGGAAGGTTTGTGTGACAGTTTTGATGTAAATGTAGGGAAAGAAATCACAGCTTTACCTCCAGATCGATTCTTCTCCCTCTTCGCCTCCACATCAAATCGTGAAATCCTGTTTCTTCCCATATCCATTTCAATATGCCAACACAAGTGCTTTCCTTTTCCATACCCCAGCTCTATATGATATTCCTAAACTCATAGAAGAAATTATAGTTGATCGATTGATCTTAGAAAACAAGAAAAAGGATCATGAAATGAAATATAATTGGTGCAACTACTTAAATAGTTCTCATTAACAAATAGATTGCATTAGCATTAACTTATACATGAGCTATTCACTTTATTATGTGTATGTTTAACAATCTCGACTTTTTTTTTCTATTAATGAATATGATCAATGTCCATGAGACTCTCACTATCTCCGTCTCTCTTTATCTCAATTAAAGAGAGAAAAAAAGAAAAAAAAAAGTTTTTATGAGCGTTTCAGAAACAATTCTGAAGAAACTAAAGTGAAATGAAACTCACTTACAGGCTTACAACTCATCTGCGGTGTTCAACATAAGGAATAGTTCCTGTTAAATGTGTAGTGCAGCAACCACCCACCTGTTCTAGTAACATAATTTGCTGACTTCCAAGAAGCGGAAGCATAAAGGCAGTGCTCCAAGGAAACCCGAACCTCATTTGTTTTGTGGTCATTGTCACCTAATCTCACTTCCACAGCTGTGTGTGTACAAAAACATATCTTAACCCACTCGAAGATGGCAGCGACATGAAGAGAAAATGAAAAGCCATGTTGCTTGTCTTGAAAATAAGGCAGTATACAAATAAAACATCATTCCAGGGATACCTATCCAATTGAAGGAGCATCATATTCACTCCAAACGGCAGGAGAACCATTCCTGGATGATGGATGTTAAAATTGTTGGCCTTAGATAATCCTATCTTTACAATTCCACAGTTTGCTCTCTGCATCAGTAAAGCCAACAAACACATTAGTGACATAATCTTGACCTGACTCAGAGCATAGTTGAACTTCGCGGTCCACATTTCACTAATAAATAAGCTGAAATGATTAAGCTAAATTCTACAGATAGATGTAACATATTTATAAAAGCCTCAATAATAATTCCTTACATTTTTCCCTTAATTTTCGATTTTATCATGGCCGTCGAACTCTGAAAGTTGGAACAGAATTTAAACATGACTTGACAGGGAAATATAGCAAAGTGAAAGTTTTAGAAAGAGCAATCACTTGAGGTGTACCAAGATGCAAAAAAAATAAAAAATAAGAAAATGTTGGAACCAGTTTTCCTGAATTGCTTATTCCTAAATATTGAGTAAACAACTCCTGTAGTGAAATTCATATTGACATGGATACGGCCACCTGTACACATGAGTTGATCATCTTTTCATTACGAAAACCATTTCATCCAAAATGTGCAGCATATTCATGCAAGGAACTCAGAAACAAAAGGAGATCCATGTGCTTTTCTTTCACCATTCATTGAATTCAAAATCCTTGAGTATGCAACTGCACGACCATAAAACAAGAAAATCAGTTGAATCTTAAATAACCATGGTAATTTTGGTTAGTCTTCCAGAGGTGGATGTTATAACTTTTGGAATTATGTGAAAAGAAGATAAGAATAATAAGGTTCAAATCTTATTCATTCAACTGGTAATGTGCAAAGTATTAAATTAGAACCGTAATTTTAATTGCCAAATGCAAGGTATTAAAGTTCACAAGAATTAGAGGCAAGTTTTACCTTCACATGGTTTTGCTGGTTCATCATCAAATTAAGAAAATGCTTGTTTCTTCTCATACCTCGTCTCAGAAGGATGCCCTAAATTCAAAGATGAAGATACTGTAAATTAACGAGTGATCTTAGAAACAAGCATATGCATGCTGATTTGAATAGGTCCAGCCTAATTGGTACAGTTTTTTCAAATTAATTCCAGTTTATTATGTGTGCAAGTTTGACAATCTGGATCTGGATCTTTTCCTTAAGATGAATATGCATTCCACCACATTCAAATCACATCACTACGAAAAGAAAAAAAAACATCATCCAGGAGTTACCTCGTCTCATTCAGGAGAATCATATTCATGATGACAGATAGCCAAAGCACAACTGGACGACTAGTAATTAATGTAAGGTAACACCTGTTGCCCATGGATGAAATTGTCTTGGAATTTAAAGATACATGGTTTTACAGGGGAGAACAAACACGAAATGAAGGTGGAAGGGTAGCGTAGTTGAATTAAACAATTAAAAACCGATTGATTGATTAATTAATTAATTAATTAATTAAACATGGTATAAAATGACAGTAAACAATTGAAGAGAAACTTTTACAGTATCTGAAATCTTGGCTATGGAATGAAACAGGTTATTGTATGAAAAATTGTGCTACGTAAGTACCTAAATTTGACTTGAGATCTCAAATGATGACTTCGTCATCTATTTGTATGCAAGGTATGTGAGCTATCTGGCTCCACTCTTCTCCCGTCTTCTCCTGACACCTCATCCTCAGAGAAGGATTGCACTTGATTCTCAAAAAAGAAAGTAATGCCGGCAAACCATCTTTTGGCAGGAATTCAAGACTATCACAGCTTCTACTTTTGAGCTTTTGAAGACAAGTGAGGTGTTGAAGTCCCTTTCACTCCAAAGATTTCAGAACTTTTGTTCCATAGATTTGAGAGTGTAAGAGTGGAAGGGAGTAGCTGTTCCTTGAGCAACATCTCCAACAGATCCTTGTAACCACCGATCCCAAATGTTTGAAGGAAGACAAGTCGTTGCAAACCCCACTCCACTAATGGCCTGCCCTCAGTCTCCTGTATGAACACTGGAGTACTGTCCAGGCCATCCACTTTGTCCACTTCCCCAACGCGATTGTTCTTGAAGAACAGATTCAGCTTGGGACTTTTCAATTTTAAAAAACTAGAGTCAAAAGAAACAAGAAAAAAAAAAAGAGATTTCAAGTGAATTGGAAGTTCAGGAATGCCTTAGCATCCAAAAAAAAAGGGCACATAAAATCAATTAAGACAAGTTTAGATCAACATAATATATAATAGAACAAAAGTAAGAACTACCTCTCTAAAAGTTTCACAGAACTTAAAAAATTGGAGACAATTTCCCACATCCTCAGCAACTAATGGTGCCTTGAGGTAGGGGAAGCTCAAGATCAGCCTCTCTGCTCTCAATGGGACGTTCCTGGAGGTGAATCAACACACATTGCCTGCAAAAACTCGAGACCATAAGTCCTCTTAAACCGAACTAAAACCAACCAACAACAATATCAATATGCGTTAAAAGAAAAAAAACAGCACCACCATCTCTGCTGCCAAAATCAACCGCTTGAGTCTCAATATTCCCTGGCCATTCCTTGACTTTACGATGCTTTCTGACTGCCTTGGCACTGACATCCTTATTGCTCATAGCAGCAGCACCATCTCTGCTGCCATTACACATTTCCATCAACTCTTCCTAATTCATTTTCTTAGTTTCCTGCTCATCAGATTTCGGAGATGCATCCAAGTTCATATCTTTGCTTCCATTAAGAGACTTCTCCTTCCCTCGTTTTCTTGGTGACAACACTGGTTTCCCATCAAAACTCGAGGGCATAAACCCACTTAAACGTCACTAAAACCTTGTTCAAAGCCATACGTTTTTCACAAACCATCCTTGCTTTCAACATCCATCTCCCCTTGTTTCTTCTGCATGTACATAGTCAAAGGGATTGCTCATATTTAATTAGATTCCAATTGTAATCGAATGCCACCGCACATATAGAAAACATGCCCCTTTGTCCTGGGATAGCTCATAACATCCCCAATGGTCTCTCAGTTCCCTTGGAACACTTCCAGAGAATAAGATGCTCACAGGCTGTGACAATAGGCACAATTTCAGATGAAAATAAAAGTGCAGGATCTTTTACTTTAAGGAGAGTATGTGGACATTCCAACAAAGATTCATGGAAGGTTTGTACACAGTTAATGTAGTGAAAGAAGATAGAGCTTTACCTGCAGATCGATGCGTTCTCCCACTTCATTTCCACATCAAATTGTGAAAATCATGTTTCTTCTCATATCCGTTTCGATAGGATGCCAAAACAAGTGCTTTCCTTTTCCGTACCCCAGCTCAACATAAATGAATACTCCTAAATTCAAATACGATGAAATTATAAACAATTGATTGATCTTAGAAAACAAGCAAATGGATCTTAAAATGAAACCTAAATGGTGCAGCTTCTTAAATAATTCCAACTAATAAATAGATTGAATTAGCATCAACTTATACATGAGCTATTCACTTTATTACGCGCACGGTTAACAAGTGGCTTTTTCTTTATATTAATGAATATAATCAATGTCTTTATAACTATCTTTGTCTCTCTTAAACTCAATTAAAAAGGGGAAAAAAGTTGTTTATTCATGAACTTTTCAGAAACAAAGTGAAATGGAATTCAATTTTTGTTATCTGCAGTGTTCAACATAATAAATATCGTTCCCGTGAAATGTGTAGTGCAGCAACCACCCACCTGCTCTTGTAACATAATGTACTAACTTCCAACAAGCGCAAGCATGAGGGCAGTGCTCCAAAGAAACTTGCTCTCATTTTTGTTTTGTGGTCATCGTCACCCGTTCTCACTTCAACAGCGGTGTATGTACCAAAACAGATCTGCAACCACACGAAGATGGCAGCAGCATGAAGGGAAGATGAAAAGGCATTTTTGCTTGTATTGAAAATAAAGCAGCATATGAGAAAAACATCATTCCAGGGGTTACCTATCCAATTGAAGGAGAATCATATTCATGTCACACTGCAGGAGAACCATTCATAGACAATTAATTGATGGACGCAATGGACTTAGGTAATTCAATCTTTACAGCAGAGTTTGCTATCTGCATCAGCAAAGCCGAGAAACACGTTAGTGACATAATTTTTCCCTGAAAGCATAGTTGAATTTCACTGTTAACATTTGACTAATACATAAGCTTAAATGATGCCTTCACATTTTCCCCTACTTTATCATCAGCTTAAATGATGCAATCAAACTCTGAAAGCAAATGGATCAATCCAGTTTATTACGTGAACGTTCAAGTTTGACAATCAGGATCTTTTCCTTATCTTGAGATGAATATGCATTCCACCACAATCAAATCACATAAGTATGGGAAAGAAAAAAAAAACATCATCGAGGGTTACCTCATCGCCCATGTGGGAGAATCATATTCATGACAGATAAGCCAGAGCACGATTCGACGACTAGTAATTAATGTAAGCTAACACAAGTTGCCCTCGGATGATATTGTCTTGAAATTTAACGATACATGGTTTACAGGGGAGAACAAACACGGAAGGGAGATGGAAGGGTAGCGTAGTTGAATTAAACAATTAAAAATTGGTTGATTGATTGATTGATTAAAACAGTATAAATGACAGCAAACAATTGAAGAGAAACTTGTACAGAATCTGAATCTTGCCTATGGAATGAAAATGGTGCTCTGTACGTACCTGACTTTGACTTTGAGATCTCAAATGATGACTCGATCATCTATCTCGATGCAAGGAATGTGAGCTATCTTGCTCCACTCTTCTCCCGTCTTCTCCTGACACCTCTTACTCAGAGAAGGACATTTTTTTATTCTCAGAAAAGAGAGCGATGCCGGCAAACCCTCGTTTGGCAGGAATTCGAGACTATCACACCAGCTAATTTCGAGCTCTTGAAGACAAGTGAGGTGTTGAAGTCCCTTTCCCTCCAAAGATTTCAGACTTTTCATTACATAGATTTGGAGAGTGTGAAGAGTGGTAGGCAGCAGCTGTTCCTTGAGCACCGTCTCCAACAGATGCTCGCTGCTCCGGATCCGAAATGTTCGAAGGGAGACAAGTCGTTGCAAACCCCAGTACTCCACTGAAGGCCTCAGTTTCTCACAACCACCGATTGCAAATGATTGTAGGTTGGGAGGCAAACCCCCTTCTGCAAATGACTCAACATTTGGAAGACCGTATATCCGCAACTCTTGAAGGGCGGTGAGGGAGTGTATTCGGTCGGGCAATAACTTCAAATTCTCGCATCCCCGGACTATAAAATGAGCCAGTTTAGGAGTGGGCAATCCCCCGTGGGGAAAAGATACCAGATTTGGACAATTACCAATAACGAGACGGTCGAGATGAGTGAGATTTTCGTCATCAGCTCCTTCTACAATGGCAAGGGATTCTAGATTTTTACTGCCCCTGATACTAAGATTTGAAAGTTCGGGGAAAACACCCAGCGGGAAGGACCTCAGTGAATCACAGCTCTTGAACAACTCCAAATATCGAAGGGATTTCAATTTGGCCATCATCTCATGAGATAGGAATTCTAATCTCCTGCAATTTTGTATTCTAAGAAATGTCAACGAAGTGGGTAGACCATTTCTCGGGAACGACAAGAGTGACGCGCAGTTAACGAGAATCAACTCTCCAAGACAATTGCTGAAGTGCGGCTGCAAGTAATTTGTGCTACTAAAAATTTGAACCTTAAGCCTCCAAAGCGAGGACAGCGACTCCGTCTCTAGTAACGACGAGAGACCAGGGCATCCATTTATCGTCAGGCTTCGAAGAGATCGTCGCAAGGACTCAGTGTTAACGATGAGAGACCAGGGTATCCATCTAGTTCTGGTAGCCCTTTCATGCAGAACCCCGCAGTTGGACACAGTAAGGTTTCTCAAGCAAGGAAGACGATCAGGCAAGTTTCCCCTCAACTTCGGACAATTGCATAAAGTAAGCACCTCGAGACGAGGAAAGCAAGATTGACCACTACCGGGACTCGACAGCCATTCCTCCCACTCCGGCATCTCGTTGAACTCTAGCTTCACGAGAGATTGAAATGGTTGACTTAGAGAAGCTCCATTACCCACGTAGAACTCAACACCAATACTCGCAACAAATTTCATCATTTCTATATAGAGCTCTTTGAGAGCGGGTAACCGCCCAACTGGTGGCAATGAGAAGCAAGTACTACATTTGCTGAGACGCATGACTTGTATGTTGGAGAAGGAAGTGTCTCCCAACCAATCCGGAAACCTGGTTCCACCATAAGATCTGATGGTCAGCTTCACCAAATTTACGGAAGGTTGTAAGCTTTCTAGTACATGCCTCTCTTTAACGGAATCATTTGCATCCTCATGACCCCATGCCAACTCTACTTCGTGAAGATCTTTCTTATCCTTCAAATTGGCCCCCAAGGCATCCATAGGATTGACTACATTTTGCAGATTCAAGATAGATAGTTTTCCTCGAAGGTTCGACAATTGCCCTAGTTCTCCAATGCCACTCGACCCAGTAGATTTCCCCAACACAAAAGCAGTTAATGTTCTCAAACTTTTCAGTCTACCCATTTGCACCGGCATCTCTTTTATACTAGTTTCTCTAATATCAAGAAGACGCAAATTAATCAATTTCCTCATGTCTGCAGGCAATTCAACAAGAGAGGAACAACCTAACAATAATAGAGTTTGCAAATTGTAGAGCTCACACATCGTATTTGGTAACGTTTTAACTGCAGTGTAAGAGAGGTCGATGTAGCGCAAGCTTAAGTGTTTACCAATGTTATCAGGTAATTGAGTTATATTTTTATATCTTGCCAATGACAACACCCGTAAACATTTTTGTGCTGGTAACAAATCCTCTAGAACCTTTATGCTTACATATAGGCTCTTTTCCATCTTTTGGTATGGTCTTAAAGACATGGGAAACAAGGTGCGCAAACACTTAATTTCATCCAATGGCTTAAATTTTGCTACGGTATCAAATCTTCCTCTCATATATGACAAATGCCGAACTCGTTTAGGAACTTCATGTGGCTGTCCCTCACCCAATCTAAAACAAAATTCTCCAAACACTGACATAGCCAAGTCGTTAATGAGATCATGCATTGTGAAACTTGATTTCCTAATTAATGATCTTTGAAGTAGTGATCGTGACAATAGTTCATCAAAGTATCTCCCACCGAGCTCTTCCAATCCTTTACCACTCTCAGCTTGTGGAATTAAACCGAGTGCCATCCAAAGTTGAATTATATTTTCCTTTTCAAATTCATAGTCCTTTGGAAAAATTGAGAAATAAGCAAAGCATTGTTTTAAATAAGTAGGGAGATAATGGTAACTCAATCTTAAAGATGGAAGAACACTTTTATCATGCAATGTCTCCCAAAGATTGTTGTTCAAAATGTGACTCCATTCCTTGTAACCTACATTACAACCTAAGAGACCCCCAAGTGCTTTTGCAGCCAAAGGAAGACCGTCGCACTTGCGTGCAATTTGCTTACCAATTTCTTCCAACTCTGGATGTGCACTAGGATTTTCATTTCTAAATGCATGTTTTGAGAGTAATAACCAACAATCTTCATCTGACAAATGTCTCAAGTAGTGAATAGGACCAGTGTGCACAAGGGATGCAACACTTTCGTTCCTTGTTGTCACTATGACCTTACTTCCCCTCGCCCCATAAGTAAAAGGAGCCCGTACAAGATCCCAATCACTATAGTTGTCATTCCAAAGGTCATCCAACACAAATAGGAACTTTTTCCCCCTCACTTGTTCCCTAAGTTCAACTTGAAGCAAGCTCATATATTGAAGACTGCAAGGTTTTGAGATTATTGATTCAATAAGGGTTTTAGTTACCCTAATATCATCAAAATCTTCGGAAACACAGGCCCAAGCTGTAACATCAAAATACTCTTTTATTTTTTTATCATTGTAAAGGACCCGAGCAAGGGTTGTCTTACCAACCCTGCCCATTCCCACTATGGGGATTACCGATATGTGGCTACTACTTGCATTATCCGATAGCAACATCCTTTTCAACTTCTTTTCATCTCTCTCCCTACCACAAGCACTAAATTCATGCTCAACAAAGGATGTTGTGGGAGTTCTTTGAGAAACTGTTCCCTTGACACCTCCTATAAGACCAAGGAGATCTTTTTGTTTAGCAAGGTGTTCTAGTCTCTCAAATATCACTTCTACCCTACCATTCATGCCTTGATAAAAAGGATTAAGAGAGGTAGATAGGAAGTTCCACACCTGGGTTTTCTTAGTTTGGTATTCAGCTTCCACCTTGGAGCGCAAAACTTCAGCATCGATCTCGTCCAGTAGATCCTCCGCCTCAAAGACAGCGTGTTTGAGCTCATTGAGCCACATCCCCACAGCAGGGTTGACAATCTGCTTCTCCTCTGCATCATTGAGCACTGCATGAAGGGTCAACAACGTCAGCTTCAGTTTTTCCAATAGTGAATGGTCAAGTTTTTTCCGCCGGAAGAAGTCCACGAGCTCGCCAGAAGAAACCTTGTCGCACAGCGTCCGGATGGAAGCAGAGAGAAAAGCCTCTCCGATCAAAGCTCCTGCCATTTCACTCTCTCTCTCTCTCTCTGTTTTTTCTTTTCTTTTTTTTTGGTCTTCAAAGAAGTGTTGAGGTGAGGAAGAGTGATTAATTTCGTTTCGGAAAGAGACGACTTGATATAATTTTTAGTCAATGGTTCAGTGGACCTCACACGTTAATCATAGAGAATTAATTCCAGATAATTTAACTGACAATTTCCTAGTAGTTGGTGGTTAATAATCGAGTGGACCACACGAGTTAATCATTGAGTGTTTATTCCCTATAATTTAAGTGACAATTTCCTAGTAGTTGGTTCGTGTGAGATTGACAGGTTGTAGGCTTCCTTCCAGGACAATAGTATATGAAACTTTGAATCATCTTCTTCTTTGTGATTGATGTATGCATGAAACAGTTAATCATGTCTGTTGTCTTGGTGAACTTAAACAAACAACTCAGTTCCTAATCATATATTCGATTCATTGTTCCTCTAATTAACAGTTCGATCCAGCTTAAAATTTAAGGAAAATTAATAAAAAGAGGCTTGAAAACTTTGAGTTTTAACAATAAGGACAAAATAAAGGGTAAAGTAAGTAATACCAGGTTTGACTTTTTAATGTAAAAATATGGTTTTTCGTTAAAATGAACAGTACCGCGAGTTTTTCGTTAAAACTCCCTAAAATTTATAGTTAGTTTGTGTGCCTTTGGATGGTAATTAACCAGAACATCACTATTGTCCTTTTGATAATAAAAATCACGTTGGGAGTTTGCTCTTAGACGGGCAGATACAACACATGATTAGTCAATTTTATCACCTAATTAATTAAGATTAAGATTGGAATCTTTTGCTTTTTATGTTATCATGTCATGCATTTTAATTAATAGATTGGAGTAATATAATGAATAAGCCTTTACAAATTACATATGATATGGGTAAAAGATTCGGAACAGAGAGAAAGAGACCATTTTTAAGTCACCAATGCAACAATTATTGTTGGCCATAACTATAAGTGCAGAGGAAAGAGACCATCACCAGAGTTCGAATAAGCAATACTAGGTAGATTAAATTTGTAGATTAAATTTATAAATTAAATGATGTGTTACCAATAAAAAATAAACACGTTGATCAACTGAATATGTAAGTAATAATCTAATCATCAACTTTCATGTTATTTAATTTACAAAATTATATGTACAAATTTAATTTATCTAGCATTACCTTAAAGATTATAATATCATTAATAAAATAGCCTGTGTGGAAATCGCCTATTATTGACCAAGTCCACAGCCAACCTAGAGTCTCTCCTTTCCCACTTAATCAAAAGAATTAAACAATGGAAGAAAAAAAAAATAATGTTGGAGAGACGGCATAAAGTTTTCTAAAATAAAATCCACAACATAACAAGGACCTCCCATCAATTGGTGGATTAAAGCTGGGTCTTCTGTTAAAGAGTAAATTGTAGCAATGGTCCCTCAACTTCAACCCAATTAGAGCAATGATCCCTCAGCTTTAACATAATTGAAGAAATGGTTCCTCAACTTTAACCCAATTGCATCAATGATCTTTCCAACATAACTCATTTTGACATAATTCTGACAGAGTTAACAAAATGAACCATAATTGCACATTTTGATGAGTTAAGAAACCAATGGTAATGGATATTTAGTTGGAGGACCATTGCTACAATTTTCTCACTAGTAAAAGAGTGATTTGGGTATTTGAAATTTGATGTAATCCATCAAAAAATGGACCATCTTCCCACCATTAAAAGAGTGATTTTGGTTTAGCGTTATTCTCTTCCCATACTTTGAAAAGATTCCAAGTTCGAATTTATTAAACTCCAAATAAAAACAATGCTCCATGATAACGAAGAAAAAGTTGTATGATTGACCTAATTATATAAATAAGAAGACTCATCATGCCTTATAACCACTCGATCGAGCTCAAAATTTTATTGTCAATTTATGCGCCTTTGAATGGTAATTAACCAAAACATCACTGTTGTCTGTTGGTACTAGAAGTTGCGTTGGGATTTTGCTCTTATAAGGGCAGATACAGCACGTTACGATTAAGATTGGAATCTTTTGTTGATTATGTTTTGATTATATAATCAATAAGCCATTACATAAGATATGAGTAGGTTTAATTTTTGTTCTTTTTCATGCTTTTCCGATGAGCTGGACTGTGAGCTGGCTTGCTGAGTTGGCAGTGAGTTGTATATTCTTTGTATATTTCCATCCCCCCAAGCTCAAGGGAGAACATATGCAACTCAAAAGTCGTTATTATCCGCTTCTATTTTATTATTTTTTAGAGCGCAAATAACAGTTCCCTGTTAGTCAATAATTTAGTAAACCCCACAGGTTAAGCATAGAGTCTTATTCCCTGTAAGTTAACTGACAATTTCTTAGTTTTATTCCCTGTAATTTAACGGACAATTTCTTCGTACTGGTGGTCAATAATTAAGAGTGTATGCATGAAACAGTTAATCATGTCTGGTGTCATGGTAAACTTAAACAAACAACTCAGTTCCTAATCATATACTCGATTCATTATTCCTCCAAATAATTGCTCGATCGAGCTTAAAATTTATGGTTAATTTGTATGCCTTTCGATGGTAATTAACCAGAACTTCACTATTGTCTTGTTGATAATAAATGTCGCCTTGGGAGTTTGCTCTTAGACGGGCAGATACAACACATGATTAGTTAAATTGATCACCTAATTAATTAAGATTTAGATTGGAATCTTTTGTTTTTTTATTTATCATGTCATCATACGTATTAATTAATAGATGGCTTAAATGTTAAAATAGTCACTGTGTTTTAATCATTGGGTTAATTTAGTTTCTGTGTTTTCAATTTGACCAATTTAGTCCTTGTGTTTATCTCCATTAACCAATTAAGTACATTTCCATCTAATTTCAATGAAAAAAAAATTATAAATTTAATAAACTTATTTATAAAATTATAATCTATTTAATTTAAAATATTTAAAATGAAATAACATTAAAAATTAAAAGAAAAATTATTCTCATCTCAACTCTTCGACCTCCTTCCTAGCATTACTCCCTTTCTTTTCTATGTCACAACCTTAATCATTTTTCAGATTAGAAGTTTTGTTTCTTATATGTGTTCTCACTGATTTGCAATTTTTTCTATAAGTAGAAAGGGAAATTATTTCCTATATGATGTCCTTAATTGGTAATTTTAATTACCAAATGCAAGGTATTAAAGTTCACAAGAATTAGAGGCAAGTTTTACCTTCACATGGTTTTGCTCGTTCATCATCAAATTAAGAAAATTCTTGTTTCTTCTCATACCTCGTCTCAGAAGTATGCCCTAAATTCAAAGATGAAGATACTATAAATTAACGAGTGATCTTAGAAAACAAGCATATGCATGCTGATTTGAATAGGTCCAGCCTAATTGGTACAGTTTTTTCAAATTAATTCCAGTTTATTATGTGTGCAAGTTTGACAATCTGGATCTGGATCTTTTCCTTAAGATGAATATGCATTCCACCACATTGAAATCACATCACTACGAAAAGAAAAGAAAAACATCATCCAGGAGTTACCTCGTCTCATTCAGGAGAATCATATTCATGATGACAGATAGCCAAAGCACAACTGGACGACTAGTAATTAATGTAAGGTAACACCTGTTGCCCATGGATGATATTGTCCTGGAATTAAAAGATACATGGTTTTACAGGGGAGAACAAACACAAAATGAAGTTTAGATCAACATAATATATAATAGAACAAAAGTAAGAACTACCTCTCTAAAAGTTTCACAGAACTTAAAAAATTGGAGACAATTTCCCACATCCTCATCAACTAATGGTGCCTTGAGGTAGGGGAAGCTCAAGATCAGCCTCTCTGCTCTCAATGGGACGTTCCTGGACCCTGCGAAACCCTCTTGCAGCCTTGCCCTTGCCCTTGGAATCATTCTCATTCACAGCAGCACCACCATCTCTGCTTCATTACAAATTTCCATCAACTCGTCCTGTTTGCTGCATCAGAGCACTTCACATCTTCGCTCTGATCAAGCGCATTCTCCTTCCCTCGTTTTCCAGGTGAATCAACACACATTGCCTGCAAAACTCAAGACCATAAGTCCTCTTAAACCGAACTAAAACCAACCAACAACAATATCAATATGCGTTCAAAGAAAAAAACCATAATCAACAGCACCATCTCTGCTGCCAAAATCAACCGCTTGAGTCTCAATATTCCCAGGCCATTCCTTGACTTTACGATGCTTTCTGACTGCCTTGGCACTGACATCCTTATTGCTCATAGCAGCAGCACCATCTCTGCTGCCATTACAAATTTCCATCAACACTTCCTAATTCATTTTCTTAGTTTCCTGCTCATCAGATTTCGGAGATGCATCCAAGTTCATATCTTTGCTTCCATTAAGAGACTTCTCCTTCCCTCGTTTTCTTGGTGACAACACTGGTTTCCTATCAAAACTCGAGGGCATAAACCTGCTTAAACGTCACTAAAACCTTGTTCAAAGCCATACGTTTTTCACAAACCATCCTTGCTTTCGACATCCATCTCCCCTTGTTTCTTCTGCTTGTACATGGTGAGAGGGATTGCTCATATTTAATTAGATTCCAATTGTAATCGAATGCCACCTTACATATAGAAAACATGCCCCTTTGTCCTGGGATAGCTCATAACATCCCCAATGGTAGAGCAAAATGCTGTAATCTCTCAGTTCCCTTGGAACACTTCCAGAGAATAAGATGCTCATAGGCTGTGACAATAGGCACAATTTCAGATGAAAATAGAAGTGCAGGATCTTTTACTTTAAGGAGAGTATGTGGACATTCCAACAAAAATTCATGGAAGGTTTGTACACAGTTAATGTAGTTAAAGAAGATAGAGCTTTACCTGCAGATCGATGGGTTCTCCCACTTCATTTCCACATCAAATTGTGAAAATCATGTTTCTTCTCATATCCGTTTCGATAGGATGCCAAAACAAGTGCTTTCCTTTTCCATACCCCAGCTCAACATATATGAATACTCCTAAATTCAAATACGATGAAATTATAAACAATTGATTGATCTTAGAAAACAAGCAAATGGATCTTAAAATGAAACCTAAATGGTGCAGCTTCTTAAATAATTCCAACTCATAAATAGATTGAATTAGCATCAACTTATACATGAGCTATTCACCTTATTATGCGCACGGTTAACAAGTGGCTTTTCTTTATATTAATGAATATAATCAATGTCTCTATAACTATCTCTGTCTCTCTTAAATTCAATTAAAAAGGGGAAAAAAGTTGTTTATTTATGAACTTTTCAGAAACAAAGTGAAATGGAATTCAATTTTTGTTATCTGCATTGTTCAACATAAGAAATATCGTTCCCGTGAAATGTGTAGTGCAGCAACCACCCACCTGCTCTTGTAACATAATGTACAAACTTCCAACAAGCGCAAGCATGAGGGCAGTGCTCCAAAGAAACTTGCTCTCATTTTTGTTTTGTGGTCATCGTCACCCGTTCTCACTTCAACAGCGGTGTATGTACCAAAACAGATCCGCAACCACACGAAGATGGCAGCAGCATGAAGGGAAGATGAAAAGGCATTTTTGCTTGTATTGAAAATGAAGCAGCATATGAGAAAAACATCATTCCAGGGGTTACCTATCCAATTGAAGGAGAATCATATTCATGTCACACTGCAGGAGAACCATTCATAGACAACTAATTGATGGACGCAATGGACTTAGGTAATTCAATCTTTACAGCACAGTTTGCTATCTGCATCAGTAAAGCCGACAAACACGTTAGTGACATAATTTTTCCCTGAAAGCACAGTTGAATTTCACTGTTAACATTTGACTAATACATAAGCTTAAATGATGCCTTCACATTTTCCCCTACTTTATCATCGCAATCAAACTCTGAAAGCAGATGGATCAATCCAGTTTATTACTTGAACGTTCAAGTTTGACAATCAGGATCTTTTCCTTATCTTGAGATGAATATGCATTCCACCACAATCAAATCACATAAGTATGGGAAAGAAAAAAAAAACATCATCGAGGGTTACCTCATCGCCCATGTGGGAGAATCATATTCATGACAGATAAGCCAGAGCACGATTCGACGACTAGTAATTAATGTAAGCTAACACAAGTTGCCCTCGGATGATATGGTCTTGAAATTTATCGATACATGGTTTACAGGGGAGAACAAACACGGAAGGGAGATGGAAGGGTAGCGTAGTTGAATTAAACAATTAAAAACTGGTTGATTGATTGATTAAAACAGTATAAATGACAGCAAACAATTGAAGAGAAACTTGTACAGAATCTGAATCTTGCCTATGGAATGAAAATGGTGCTCTGTGCGTACCTGACTTTGACTTTGAGATCTCAAATGATGACTTGATCATCTATCTCGATGCAAGGAATGTGAGCTATCTTGCTCCACTCTTCTCCCGTCTTCTCCTGACACCTCTTACTCAGAGAAGGACATTTTTTTATGCTCAGAAAAGAGAGCGATGCCGGCAAACCCTCGTTTGGCAGGAATTCGAGACTATCACACCAGCTAATTTCGAGCTCTTGAAGGCAAGTGAGGTGTTGAAGTCCCTTTCCCTCCAAAGATTTCAGACTTCTCATTTCATAGATTTGGAGAGTGTGAAGAGTGGTAGGCAGCAGCTGTTCCTTGAGCACCGTCTCCAACAGATGCTCGCTGCTCCGGATCCGAAATGTTCGAAGGGAGACAAGTCGTTGCAAACCCCAGTACTCCACTAAAGGCCTCAGTTTCTCACAACCACCGATTGCAAATGATTGTAGGTTGGGAGGCAAACCCCCTTCTGCAAATGACTCAACATTTGGAAGACCGTATATCCGCAACTCTTGAAGGGCGGTGAGGGAGTGTATTCGGTCGGGCAATAACTTCAAATTCTCGCATCCCCAGACTGTAAAACGAGCCAGTTTGGGAGTGGGCAATCCCCCGTGGGGAAAAGAGACCAGATTTGGACAAGAAATGATAGAGAGAGAATCGAGATGAGTGAGATTTTCATCATCAGCTCCTTCTCCAATGGCAAGGGATTCTAGATTTTTACTGCCCCTGATACTAAGATTTGAAAGTTCGGGGAAAACGCCCAGCGGGAAGGACCTCAGCGAATGACAGCATTATTTGGCCATCATCTCATGAGATAGGAATTCTAATGAGATAGGAATTCTAATCTCCTGCAATTTTCTATTCTAAGAACTGTCAACGAAGTGGGTAGACCATTTCTCGGGAACGACAAGAGTGACGCGCAGTTAACGAGACTCAAACTTCGAAGGCAATTGCTGAAGTGCGGCTGCAAGCAATTTGTGCTACTAAAAATTTGAACCTCAAGCCTCCGAAGCGAGGACAGCGACTCCGTCTCTAGTAACGACGAGAGACCAGGGCATCCATTTATCGTCAGGGTTCGAAGAGATCGTCGCAAGGACTCAGTGTTAACGATGAGAGACCAGGGTATCCATCTTGTTCTGGTAGCCCTTTCATGCAGAACCCCGCAGTTGGACACAGTAAGGTTTCTCAAGCAAGGAAGACGATCAGGCAAGTTTCCCCTCAACTTCGGACAATTGCGTAAAGTAAGCACCTTGAGACGAGGAAAGCAAGATTGACCACTACCGGGACTTGACAGCCATTCCTCCCACTCCGGCATCTCTTCGAACTCTAGCTTCTCGAGAGATTGAAATGGTTGACTTAGAGAAGCTCCATTACCCACGTAGAACTCAACACCAATACTCGCAACAAATTTCATCATTTCTATATAGAGCTCTTTGAGAGCGGGTAACCGCCCAACTGGTGGCAATGAGAAGCAGGTACTACATTTGCTGAGACGCATGACTTGTATGTTGGAGAAGGAAGTGTCTCCCAACCAATCCGGAAACCTGGTTCCACCATAAAATATGATGGTCAGCTTCACCAAATTTACGGAAGGTTGTAGGCTTTCAAGTACATGCCTCTCTTTAACGGAATCATTTGCATCCTCATGACCCCATGCCAACTCTACTTCGTGAAGATCTTTCTTATCCTTCAAATTGGCCCCCAAGGCATCCATAGGATTGACTACATTTTGCAGATTCAAGATAGATAGTTTTCCTCGAAGGTTCGACAATTGCCCTAGTTCTCCAATGCCACTCGACCCAGTAGATTTCCCCAACACAAAAGCAGTTAATGTTCTCAAACTTTTCAGTCTACCCATTTGCACCGGCATCTCTTTTATACTAGTTTCTCTAATATCAAGAAGACGCAAATTAATCAATTTCCTCATGTCTGCAGGCAATTCAACAAGACAGGAACAACCTAACAATAATAGAGTTTGCAAATTGTAGAGCTCACACATCGTATTTGGTAACGTTTTAACTGCAGTGTAAGAGAGGTCGATGTAGCGCAAGCTTAAGTGTTTACCAATGTTATCAGGTAATTGAGTTATATTTTTATATCTTGCCAATGACAACACCCGTAAACATTTTTGTGCTGGTAACAAATCCTCTAGAACCTTTATGCTTACATATAGGCTCTTTTCCATCTTTTGGTATGGTCTTAAAGACATGGGAAACAAGGTGCGCAAACACTTAATTTCATCCAATGGCTTAAATTTTGCTACGGTATCAAATCTTTCTCTCATATATGACAAATGCCGAACTTGTTTAGGAACTTCATGTGGTTGTCCCTCACCCAATCTAAAACAAAATTCTCCAAACACTGACATAGCCAAGTCGTTAATGAGATCATGCATTGTGAAACTTGATTTCCTAATTAATGATCTTTGAAGTAGTGATCGTGACAATAGTTCATCAAAGTATCTCCCACCGAGCTCTTCCAATCCTTTACCACTCTCAGCTTGTGGAATTAAACCGAGTGCCATCCAAAGTTGAATTATATTTTCCTTTTCAAATTCATAGTCCTTTGGGAAAATTGAGAAATAAGCAAAGCATTGTTTTAAATAAGTAGGGAGATAATGGTAACTCAATCTTAAAGATGGAAGAACACTTTTATCATGCAATGTCTCCCAAAGATTGTTGTTCAAAATGTGACTCCATTCCTTGTAACCTACATTACAACCTAAGAGACCCCCAAGTGCTTTTGCAGCCAAAGGAAGACCGTCGCACTTGCGTGCAATTTGCTTACCAATTTCTTCCAACTCTGGATGTGCACTAGGATTTTCATTTCTAAATGCATGTTTTGAGAGTAATAACCAACAATCTTCATCTGACAAATGTCTCAAGTAGTGAATAGGACCAGTGTGCACAAGGGATGCAACACTTTCGTTCCTTGTTGTCACTATGACCTTACTTCCCCTCGCCCCATAAGTAAAAGGAGCCCGTACAAGATCCCAATCACTGTAGTTGTCATTCCAAAGGTCATCCAACACAAACAGGAATTTTTTCCCCCTCACTTGTTCCCTAAGTTCAACTTGAAGCAAGCTCATATATTGAAGACTGCAAGGTTTTGAGATAATTGATTCAATAAGGGTTTTAGTTACCCTAATATCATCAAAATCTTCGGAAACACAGGCCCAAGCTGTAACATCAAAATACTCTTTTATTTTTTTATCATTGTAAAGGACCCGAGCAAGGGTTGTCTTACCAACCCCGCCCATTCCCACTATGGGGATTACCGATATGTGGCTACTACTTGCATTATCCGATAGCAACATCCTTTTTAACTTCTTTTCATCTCTCTCCCTACCACAAGCACTAAATTCATGCTCAACAAAGGATGTTGTGGGAGTTCTTTGAGAAACTGTTCCCTTGACACCTCCTATAAGACCAAGGAGATCTTTTTGTTTAGCAAGGTGTTCTAGTCTCTCAAATATCACTTCTACCCTACCATTCATGCCTTGATAAAAAGGATTAAGAGAGGTAGATAGGAAGTTCCACACCTGGGTTTTCTTAGTTTGGTATTCAGCTTCCACCTTGGAGCGCAAAACTTCAGCATCGATCTCGTCCAGTAGATCCTCCGCCTCAAAAACAGCGTGTTTGAGCTCGTTGAGCCACATCCCCACAGCAGGGTTGACAATCTGCTTCTCCTCTGCATCATTGAGCACTGCATGAAGGGTCAACAACGTCAGCTTCAGTTTTTCCAATAGTGAATGGTCAAGTTTTTTCCGCCGGAAGAAGTCCACGAGCTCGCCAGAAGAAACCTTGTCGCACAGCGTCCGGATGGAAGCAGAGAGAAAAGCCTCTCCGATCAAAGCTCCTGCCATTTCACTCTCTCTCTCTCTCTCTCTCTGTTTTTTCTTTTCTTTTTTTTTGGTCTTCAAAGAAGTGTTGAGGTGAGGAAGAGTGATTAATTTCGTTTCGGAAAGAGACGACTTGATATAATTTTTAGTCAATAGTTCAGTGGACCTCACACGTTAATCATAGAGAATTAATTCCAGATAATTTAACTGACAATTTCCTAGTAGTTGGTGGTTAATAATCGAGCGGACCACACGATTTAATCATAGAGTGTTTATTCCCTATAATTTAAGTGACAATTTCCTAGTAGTTGGTTCGTGTGAGAGTGACAGGTTGTAGGCTTCCTTCCCGGACAATAGTATATGAAACTTTGAATCATCTTCTTCTTTGTGATTGATGTATGCATGAAACAGTTAATCATGTCTGGTGTCTTGGTGAACTTAAACAAACAACTCAGTTCCTAATCATATATTCGATTCATTGTTCCTCTAATTAACAGTTCGATTAAGCTTAAAATTTAAGGAAAACTAATGAAAAAAACTTAAAAACTTTGAGTTTTAACGATAAAGATGAAATAAAGGGTAAAGTAAGTAGTACCAGGTTTGACTTTTTAATGTAAAAATGTGGTTTTTTGGTAAAATGAACAGTACTGCGAGTTTTTCATTAAAACTCTCTAAAATTTATAGTTAATTTGTGTGCCTTTGGATGGTAATTAACCAAAACATCACTATTGTCTTTTTGATAATAAAAATTCACGTTGGGAATTCGCTCTTAGACGGGCAGATACAACACATGATTAGTCAAATTTATCACCTAATTAATTAAGATTAAGATTGGAATCTTTTGCTTTTTATGTTATCATGTCATGCATTTTAATTAATAGATTGGAGTAATATAATGAATAAGCCTTTGCAAATTACATATGATATGAGTAAAAGATTCGGAACAGAGAGAAAGAGACCATTTTTAAGTCACCAATGCAACAATTATTGTTGGCCATAACTATAAGTGCAGAGGAAAGAGACCATCACCAGAGTTCGAATAAGTAATACTAGGTAGATTAAATTTGTAAATTAAATGATGTGTCACCAATAAAAAATAAACACGTTGATCAACTAAACATGTAAGTAATAATCTAATCATCAACCTTCATGTTATTTAATTTACAAAATTATATGTACAAATTTAATTTATCTAGCATTACCTTAAAGATTATAATATCGTTAATAAAATAGCCTGTGTGGAAATCGCCTATTATTGACCAAGTCCACAGCCAACCTAGAGTCTCTCCTTTCCCACTTAATCAAAAGAATTAAACAATGGAAGAAAAAAAATAATGTTGGAGAGACGGCATAAAGTTTTCTAAAATAAAATCCACAACATAACAAGGACCTCCCATCAATTGGTGGATTAAAGTAGGGTCTTCTGTTAAAGAGTAAATTGTAGCAATGGTCCCCCTAACTCAATTAGAGTAATGGTCCCTCAAAAATTCATGATCATTGGTTCCTTAACTCCTCAAAACATGCAGTTGTGGTCATTTTCTTCAACTTCATTAGAACTTTCATAAAAATGAGGCATGTGCATATGAGGCTGAATCAAGGAGCAAATATAGAAAACCAAATGAGAAATTTTTTAGCAATAGTCCTTTAACTTTAACTCAACTGGAGAAATGATCCATCAACTTCAACCCAATTAGAGCAATGATCCCTCAGCTTTAACATAATTGGAGAAATGGTTCCTCAACTTTAACCCAATTGCAGCAATGATCCTTCCAACATAACTCATTTTGACATAATTCTGACAGAGTTAACAAAATGGACCATAATTGCACATTTTGATGAGTTAAGGAACCAATGGTAATGGATATTTAGTTGGAGGACCATTGCTACAATTTTCTCACTAGTAAAAGAGTGATTTGGGTATTTGAAATTTGATGTAATCCATCAAAAAATGGACCATCTTCCCATTATTAAAAGAGTGATTTTGGTTTAGCATTATTCTCTTCCAATACTCTGAAAAGATTCCTAGTTCGAA